CTCAGGTCTGTAGCCTGGGAGCAATAGGCTATCCCATAGAGCCTAGGTGTACTGTAGGCTACACCATCTAGGTTTGTGTACAGACACTCTATTATGTTCACATAACAACAAAATTGCCTGACGATGCATTTCTCAGAATGTATCCCCAACATTAAGCAACACATGACTATACATTACTTTGTAGATCACATTGTAACTATGCTTTATTCTTTGTCTTGTAATGGTCTTCATCCAAAAGCCACACTATTCTGATCTGACCAAAACAAAATTTCAGAAAAGACCATTTTTAATAATTAAATTAAAATTTCAATTGTCTGGAAATTAGTTCCTTATGTATTTAAAATATCATCATTAATAAAGGGCTGAATTTGTAAGATTCTAGCTTTCATGATTCAATCTCCTTGATTCAATCATCAAAAAATAGAAAGAAACAGCACAACCAAAATGGTTCTTTAATATTTTATCAATGTAAAAAGAAGTTGTAGTAGTCACACAATTTTACAATTTTTGAAAACACACTTAGTGTTGTTCAGTGTTTCCTAGTAAAACTCATTTCTGCATTGTTTATTTTTTAATTTGTTCTTCATTGCTTGCTTTGCAATAGAACATGTGTTTGCAATTGTATTTAGCAAAATTCATGATCTTAACATTGTACACCAAAGTCAATGTGCCTTCCTGGCACAAAACAGCCAGTATTCAAACACTTTTCTAACGTTTGAGGTTTCTGTCTCAATTGACAAAATTGAAAAATATGTATTAGCCAAGCAAAACCACTATCTCAAAGCCATGTTGAAAATTACTCCAACCTGTCAAAGTCAATTGAAATTCCCTTCCCAGTCCAGTTCTCAACTTCATTTTGTATGTGAAATAGAAAAAGTTGGATTTGATTATAACCACATGCAGAGGGAATCAAGAAATCACATATATCTTATAAATCTCATACTACATACGGTTTTCTTTTCAAAGAATTTTGTCTTTCTTTTTCTTTTTCCATCATTTATCCCATCTCACCTGTTCTGAATAAGTCACGTATTTGTAGCGTCTGTACACGAGCAGTTAACTAGCAGTGAGTCGTGTAGCACATTAAAACATCCTTGCTGTACCACATCATTCACACCTTGGAGATGGAACAACCCTAAAGGAAGAGATCTAAGATCTGTCCCTGATGCAGGTCCAGTAATTTGGGATGTTGCTCAATGTCAGTATATTTTCTATTATTTCCTACGTTTGTATCCCAACTACAGTGGTCTAACCATGGTGCCCAGTTGCTGTTAATCCAGTTCTAACAAAAGGGCAAAAGTTCACTATGGAAGCAAGTTCCCTTCTTTAAGATGAAAATCAATTTTTTTTTCACACTAGAAAAAGCCGTGATCCAGAACACAGGAGGGGAAACACAAGGTTATACACAAGATGAGGAGCATGACTAAAACATTACCCTGCCCCTCGTCAATGTTGGGCAATACAAGCTGCCTGAAAGTTAGAGCCCATAAAATCCCTGGCAAAATTTAGGAGAATAACAAAAACAAAATAATGGCAGCCACTGGGGAAAAGAAAGGCAGGTCACTTGGAGTCAACAATATGATTTCCATCTATAAAATCAACCCAGAGTCCATTGTATTCAACGCTTATGGGCATTATCTAAAGGACAAAGCAGAATGTGTCCAAAGAAGTCTAAGAGACCAATATAAGCTGTGTATCACATCTCAGTTCACTGTTATTTATTGATGAGATATTCTGGAATATTCATCAAGGCTTTGATGTAAATATTTCTTTCTCATCTTAAGTAGGGTAATTGAGACTCTGGTGGAATAAATGATGCATTCAAGATTAGCCAGCATGTTACTACCAAAGAATGAAATGAATTAGAAGCTAATTTTCAGGCCCTCGAATGATTTGAGATACTCAACCATTTGGGGTGAGTGAAGTTTTGGATTCTAGTTTGAGATACTTAGACTTTTCATTGTTTATACTTGTCTATGGGTGAAATGTAACTTCAAGGGAGAACAGTGTACTCTCTGTACACTCTGTAGAACGGTGTACTCTCTCTTCCACTCCCACAGCAATCATGGAAGGACTTGCTTTGGAAGTGCCAGATGATCGAATTAGCCTGGGGTTCTGAGCTCCCACATGGAAGACAGCTGCCCTGGAAAGTTGCCTGTACCCTCAGCAGACCTTGAGAGAGCAAATAAATAAACTGTTGTATATTAAGCCACTGGGATTTTGGTATTGTTTGTTTCCAAATCGTAATGTAACCTATCTTGACCGATATACCAACCGTTATAAAAATACCGTTAATATATTTGAATTTAACTTTCCAGTATTATTTTTTATATATAGATGTATATAGAAATTTGGATCATTTTGTACACGTTATTTTGTAAACTTTTCTTTACCAAATAATATATAGCGAACATTTTACCAAGTCATTAAATATTTTTCTGCAAAACTCTATTTTTAATAGTTATAGAGTACTGAATTAAATTTGTACCATATGTTGTCTAATTTTTCGCTAATATTGGAAAATTTTGCTAAATAGTGTTCTATTAGCTAACCTATTCCATGTTCTTTGTGTATATTTCTGATTACTTTCCTGGGATAAAGTTTTTCAAAATGGAAATCCCACATCAAAGTTTATTCATACCTTAAAGGTTTTTGATACACATTGCCAAATTACCCCTCAAAGATTTTGTACCAACTTATAATTTTTCTGAGAGTGTATATCATTGTCATTCTACCCTTGATGACCTGGAGGACTGTAGTTTCTTAAAATTGAAAATTTGAAATACGGAAATTATCTATCTCATGTCTTATTTTAACTTGCAGGTAAAGTTATTAGGTGTAGCCAGTTTCAGGGAGAAGATCAGGAATTCAGGTCTTATAAGAATGGAAGCAATTGATGCTATGTATTTGCCTCTCTATATCTTTGGCCTCATTCTGAAAATGTTACTATGTGATATTTCATTGCCATTATTTCATAAGGGCCATGCAGATTCAATTTCGTATTTGACTCAAGAATTCCATAGGGTAACTTTTAATTCCAATCGTTGAGTTTGTTTTTATCTGCTTACATATATTATTGATTACTAGCCTTATTAATTTCTGGTTTGAGACAATGATTTGCATATTTCCTATATTTTTAGCATTAAAAAATATATTGTTTGCCTCAAATATATCTCCATTTTTTAAAAAGTTTCCATTTCAGTCTCACGGATGTGGTAGACATGGTGAATTTGGCACTCAATGTCCATTCTATTTTCTAGGAAGACTTTTTATACTACAGAAGCTGGAAAGCCAAAAACCACATATTCAAGGTTAACTGGCAATTCAGGATGTAGATGTGAATGAGATTTACACTGAAAATGCCCCACTCCATCCTTGAAATTGGGAAGTTGCAAGTGAGGTGGAGGACAACTTCTTGTTTCACCTATTGCTGCTGGCAGGTAAGGACAGAGATGGCATCACTCCAGTGCCTACTCGCTAACTTCAAAAGCACCTGCGGTGGAGACATCAGCAGCAGTTTCCTGATGCCTGGATCAGAGCTCCAGTGGTGTGTTCTTGAACCTGACAGTTTAGGTGGTGTTCACCTGATTACCCACTTTTCTGATTACAGCAAAGGCACTTAGCAACCCCGTGGGCCTAGTCAGCGGTATGAGTCTGGGAATGATTCCTGGGAGATCATTCCACAGCCTACTTCCCCTGCCTTTCCAGCCATTTTGTACAAACTAAGTCATCTGTGTCAAATGTCTTTTGCTTAAAATAGCTAGAGTGATCTGTATTTCTTTTAACTGAGCCACTGACCGATATAAGCAGTATGTAACACTTAGCCCTCTTTGCAGTTTCTGAAAGTTGACATATAGAAATGTTTAAAATAATGTGATTAATTACATTACTTACATTGTCTGTATTCTTTGTTTCTTTTACTTGTTTGCTTTTAAAGGACAGAGAGTATTGTATTAAAGTCTCCTTTAACAATTGTGGGGTTTTTCCTTTTTCATTTTCTCCTTGATTTATAATGTTTTTCCTTTCATCAAATCTGATGTTCTACTTGCTTGGTAAAATTTTGTTCTGTTAAAACCTCATTGTGTTTGGTGTTCTTCACCCACTGAAAAATAGCCACTTCGTTCACTTTAATGCTTTTCTTTTCCCTTGAATTCTTTCTCAGACACCAATTCTTTATCTGATACCAATATTGAGACCCGAAGCATCATTTTGATTGCACTTATTTGATATAAATTTGCTCATTTTTTATTTTTAACCTTTATAACTTACTTTGATTTTATATATACAGAAATTCATTTACAATGAAGACTTGGTTGGTTATCTGAGGTGAGATGGTAATGTGTGAATGGTTAAAGTGAAAAGCATAGTTAAAGCAGGAATGTAACATAGGATAACTTACAACCAGTTCACCTATTGCTCCGCCTTTGTGACATCAACCTGATCTAACCCAGATTGGTTTCAATAGTTATTCAAAGGCCATACTAACATGGAACTGTGGATGTATGCCATGCTATAAAACCTAACTCTGCCTCAAGACAGAAAGGCACAATTCCACTGTTTATACTAGACATGGCTCTAGATGCTAGCCACACAAAGTGAGCAAAAATAATCATAGCCCATGACAGGTAACCTTCCACGTAGACAGCAACTTTTCCTATCAAGGCTGCTTCATAACACTAACTTTATGAAGACATTTTAAGCAACAATTAAGGATATATATCTCATTTATAAAGCAATGGCTTGTGCGATCCTGATGTGAATAACTCAAATGGGCTGACAACTGTATAAATATAAAATACCTACAAGGCTAAGTTTGCCCATGTGCAGGCAATGACAGCTACAAAACCACTCAGTTCTCTGCCTTCAGGGAGCAAGTTTTTTCCGACATCAGTTCAAGGCATTGCACCCCAATTTCAAGAACAAACCTGGTAAAACATATTATTATAGTCAAGAAAATATGCAAATACATTGGGAAAGTATTTAATGGCACATAGGTCATTTTATAAAATCAGTCATTTATAAAAAATGTTTTATTTTCATTATGGATTCTTGGGAATGAAGAATTCTTTCAGGAATTTTTTAAGATATATATCTGAACTAAGAAAACACAGGTGTAAATGGAGAAGTGGCTCAGGTAGGCAGCACTTACAGAATGTTGCCTTAACACACTGGAAGTCAGCTTCCATTTGCCATGTTTCCATTACAATTACTGTCTTGATAGCTTATTTTGAGGTTAATCACGTGAGGCCTACTGTTGTATCATCTATGGTGGAAAAGGAGTGAAAGAAATATAGAAAAGGAAGTCAGATCACATTAGTTTTCTATTGCTGTGTACAAATTACCAAAAACAGTGCCTTAAAATGACATCCACTTACTGTCTCATGGTATCTGTAGGTCAGACGTCCAGACACAGTGTCACTGGGTTCTCTGCTCAGGGTCTAACATGGATGCAACCAAGATATTGGCCTGGGCTGCGTTCCCACCTGGGGCTCAGGGTCCTCTTCCAAGCTCATCCAGGTTGTTGGCAGAATTCAGTCCCTTGTAGCTGTAGGACTGAGGTCCCCAGGGACTGCTCTCAGCTTCTAGAGGCAACACTCGCTCCTAGGCACGAGGCCCTGTCAAAATTTAGCAACTTCCCTAAAGCCAGCAGGAGAATCTCCCTGCCATCTGTTACAACAGAGCCTTTTTTCAGCACAAACTAATCAAGAGACAGATAGCCCATCATATCCACAGGTCCTGTCTGCTTGGGAGTCACACAGATCATATATACCAATGGGTGGGAATCTAGGGGCCATCTTAGGATTCTGCCTACTACCCAATATTTACAAGGAGATTTTTAATATTGTGTTAAAAGCATGGCTTATTGCCCTCTGTGTGTTATATGAGTGCATAGAAGGCAAGGTTTCTGCTCTGAAGAACCAGAATTGAATCTTTAGAGAAAATTAAAAATAGGTATGAAACCACTTAGGAAAAATAAAATAAGGCATCAAGCAGTTTAAACCACAATTTAAGTGCAATGCAATAGAATAGATTTTTTTTTCCTGAAAATCAAGAGATAGTGTTCGAACAACTGTGATTTAATATTTTTGAAGCAAAATTGTAATCTTGCTAATTTTAAAAATACTGCATGGCAGTACAATAAATAGTCTATGTGGTATGCTTTGTGACTCACCAGATGGGTAATCCAATCCAGACCATTCCGCCAGCTTCATTTTCTCGTCTTCCAAAAAGATCTAAAACTGGCTGAAGTGACCTGCAGCATGGCAGTTTTGACCTTTGCTGAAAAGTGCAGTGTTAACACCTAATCCGTTAACAGCTCAACTCAGTGATCGATAAATATCTCAGGTTAAATCACTTAATGCACTCAATTAAATAATTTTAAATGATTTTTCTATAAATCTAATTTGTTTACCCTCTTCTACCTGCTTCTTATTTTAAAGTGAAATATCAAAGGTTGTTACTCTGATTCTTATATCACTACGTAGTAATTTCAATAAAAGCCTAAAGGTTAAAGGTCATCTTGCCTATTAAAGGACTTGTGGTCCTTTTCTGAGTGACACAATCTTCTTAATAATCCAAATATTTTCTAGATAATTATGAATTTTTAATATTCAAAGCTTCTTTTTCTAAATTCCAGATATGTGAAAGTGTGTTCTAGAATATTATTTCCTTTAACTGTGTTTTTCTATATACTCTATTTTCTAAAATGATACTGCCAAAATATTTTTAAATCTGAAAGAAATTCCCTGTGTGTGATGGTGTAGTGTTAACATATTAAGTAACTTCTTCTTTTATTGAAAAGAAAATTAAGACATTGAAATACAGAAGAATATAAAACTGAACATATGCACAAAACTTCCACTAGAAAAAATACTAAGCAAAATGTTAAATCTGCATGTATAATATGGTGTGTTATGTTTCAGTTTCCATAGCACTTTTTTGACAGATGTTAACAGGGATATTGCTGTGAAATATAAAATAGCATAAAACAAAGTTTTGCATATTTTGTCAGCAATTAGCTTACTACTTACAGAATTGCAGAAGTTAAATCATATGATATTACTGAACCAAACACAGAAAAAATGGTCACAACTCTGAGAGATTTATAATATAGCATTAACAAAACCTATATGGGGGACAAATTGTTCAAATACCAAGTTGCATACTTCAATAATGGGACTAATAAACAAGATAAGCAATTCTGATGAAAAAGCAATTCTTTCTGTGACCAGAGTTTTTCTATGTTGTAGTCCTGTAAAGGTTTTTTTCTGTAAGCCCAGCATATCATTGTTTATACCTGTTACACTGGAAATCAGCCTGGTGTCTTTCTTTAAAAATTAATTGGATGTCTTTTGCTATCACAAGACAGAAACCCAATTCAAAATAGCTTCGTTAAAAAAGAATCTGTTCTTAACCAGAAAATCCAGAGATGAGACTGTCTTCAGGCTTCTCTTTCATTCTCCTGTGAGCGTTCATCTCCATTGCTCTACATATATCACTCTATCAAGGTTACAGATGACCTTCACACTGCAAACCAATAATCAAATTTTAGGCTTTGTAGTATGTCACCTGTCAGCACCATTTGTCATAGTTGATCATTCACTATAGCTTGAAACCCTTTCTTTGCTTGTCTGCCTGGATACCAGGGCAGCAAATTGTTTTGGGTTCTGTTTTTTAAAATATTCAGATTATTTAACACCTTTTACCAAATTCTAAATGTATTCCGTGTCATTCAGAATAAAACAATGAGCCTATAAGCCATTTACAGTCTGTCCCCCCCTCATTTTCATCCCCTACCATCTCCCCTCGCTCATTCTGCTTCAGCCATACAGAACACCTTGCTCCACCTCGGGACCTTTGAAATTGCTCTTTCCCCTGCCAAGACCTCTTTCCCAGATATCTAAATGACTTCCTTTGCAGTATTGCTTTCCTTGATCATCCTTTCTTAAAAAAAAATTTTTTTAAATCTCTCCCACTCTTAGCTTTACATTTTTTCTGTGTTCTTATAAGCACTTAACTTCGTATTTATGTGTGTATTAGTGTCTCTTTCTCTCTTTCCTAAGAGCAGGAAATTTTTCTGCTGTGATCATTGCTGTATCCTTAGAGCCCAGAATAATGTCCAGAGTAACACAGGTTCTCAATAAATACTTTTTGAATGAATGAACGATTCAATCCAGGATTTTAGACAGTATCATTGGGGCCCTTCTCCCTCGCCACCTCTCAGCAATTCTCATTTCTGCTTGGCCTCACTCTGTATTCATGCTAATCCAAGTGTTCAGTGAAATGCCCACCAGCAGCCCAAAACTCACATCTTTTAAGATAATCCAATTCCATTTAAACAGATATTTTTCTCAGCAAGCAGGTATTGACAGCAGCCAATCAGCCCTCTTTGGACCACATGACTCTTCTGGACCAATCGTTGTGACTGACCAAACTCAGTCAGTCCAGGTCATGGGACTCTCTGGAAGAACAGAGTGAGAGCACTAATACTGGTGGTCCCCCCAGGACCACAAGGATAGGGTAAGGATGGTTTCTTCCAGGAAGAGATTCTGGCAGAGCAAACAGCGTGTCTCCTACAATTTTGTTTATTAAGCAAATATTTAAAATTGCATACCAGTGTGAAGGGCACTAATGCGGTAATACGAACATGGCAGTTTGTTAAGGAAAGGCAAATTACAACTCTTGCTGTCCAGCAGTACACCACACCTTAGGGCATACTTGTCTTGTCATTGATTCTGTGTTCTCGAGTGTCATAAAGTCTCTGTAATTCATTTTCACTGCAATCCCAGCTCACAAGAATATTGTGAGAATACATACGATGAAGAATGAGGTAATATCATTTACTGTAATAAGGGTACAGGTAGAGTAGGTCCTAAACTCGAATTATCAATTTCTAAAGTGTATTTCCAAACATGTGGGAAAGAGTCAGTGCTGGCTCTAAACTTAAGCAAAACTTTGTTCACCCCAAAGTCTGCCACTGACTAGCTATGTGACCTCAGGGATACTGCTTAACCCCCCTAGGCCTGAGCTTCCTTACCAGTAAGTGAGAGCTAATAGTACCTAAATCATAAGGTTGAAATAGGATTAAATGTGATCATGCCTATAAAGCACTTTATTTGCAACTGGTATGTACTCACGATAGAAGTTACTGTCATGTTTGAAACACCACATTACTCATGGAAAAGCTCAGCTATACCTCTTGGTTTCCTTGCTAAGTTCTCCCTTACCTGTCCTTGTATTTTTGGTTTCTATTGGAACGATAATATCCCAATAACTACAGTTTAAAATCCTACTGACTTTTCAAGATTCCTGTCAAATACCATTTGTCAGTGAGAATACTCAGTCTTTCTAGCCAGAATTCATCTCTCCTTCCACTGGACTCCCACAGTATTTCAAACATTCTGCCTAGTGTGTTATATTTGGCTGTGTCACCAGCTTGTTGCTTGGCCCAATCTAGGAACTCAGTGTGATGTTGAATTTAATTACATGCATATCAATAAAGGGGAAGACCTTTTGTCAACAATTAGAATTGGTCTTATTTGAACTCATCTATATTCTTATAAAATTATGTTAACAAATATATGCTTAGGGGCCGGCCGGTGGCGTAGTGCTTAAGTTCACGTGATCAGCTTTGGCAGCCCAGGGTTTGCAAGTTCAGATCCTGGGCACAGACCTATGCACTGCCCATCATGCCATGCTGTGGCAGCATCCCACATACGAAATAGAGGAAGATTGTCACAGACATTAGCTCAGCAACAATCTTCCTCAAGCAAAAAGAGGAAGATTAGCAACAGATGTTAGCTCAGGGCCAATCTTCCTCACCAAAAAAATGTAGAGAGATATGCTTAAATGCACGAGTGAAAAATTGATTCAAACTACCAATAACCATCTTTTGAGATTATTTTGGTAGCAATTTGCTTAAAAACATGTAAGGAAAAAACTATTCTGCTTCTTCCAGTAATTGAAATAAGTGTTTTAGAATGGCAAACCATCAAATAGAAAATCACTTAGGATTTATAATATTCAAAAGCTCTGTTATACTAAATCTATATAATGCAAAGAGTTTGTATAGAGAGAATAATTTTTCATTATGTCTGGACATCAATATATAATGTGAAGTAGCTTCCTTACCATCCTTAAGCTCATCTGTTTAAACTGAAGCTGGGAGTCATGCGATTCATAATTCCCTACTACTGTTCTCAGATATTTGCTTGTCAAAGCAATCATGTGGTGTCTCATTAGAAGAGAAAGAAACCCATAAGTGCAAATTCTCTGTTCCTTGTAGAGTAAAAGCATTGTACTCTGTCAGACGATTCATTTTCACATGGATCACAGTATTTCTGTTCTTTAGGAAAACTCTGAGAATGACATCAATCTTTAACTAAACTCAAAAAAGTTTGAAATGTTATTATTTTACTGATTGCTAGTTACTTACCCAGGATTTTATATATGTTAGAAGGTGACCATAGATGTAGAAGGAAGGAAAACAAGCCTTTCGGTATCCAAAATAGATGTACTCAACTCTTTAGGAGGACAACAATCCTTCTGTCAGAGAAACACATTTTAGTCACTGTTTTATAAAAACTTTATCATGTTTGGTTGTACAATTACCACTTCCCTGCAAAATACAAATACCAAATCAGATACTACTAGAGAAGGAAGCAATAAAAATATACAATTTGGGACATGACTCCTAAAATATAGCAGTCTATGACTGTTTAGCATAAGGACAAATATCCCTCAAGAATTTTAAAAAACATCACTGCATAACATTGGCTCATATTCATAAAGGGGATCCTATGACATCAAATAAATGTTAAATTGACTTTAATACACTTTATTTCAGAACAAGGAAAACTATACATTTAAGTAAAATTTATGAAAACTGTTTGAATTTGGAAAAATATTGGTTCCATATGAGAGGGGTAAAGTTCAGAAATACTTTTTAAAAGTTTCCTCTGAAATACCTTATTTCCTGGTGTCTTAGTCCGTTCAGGCTACTGTAACAAACTATCATAGACTGAGTACCACGTAAATCACAGAAATTTCTTATTCACGGCTCTGGAGGCCGGGAAGTCCAAGATCAAGGTACCGACAGAGTCAATGTCTGGTGAAGACCCTCTTCCAGGTTTCAGACTGCTCACTTCTCATATCCCCACATGGCAGAAGGGGTGAGGGATCGCTCTGGGGACCCTTTTATAAGGACACAAATCTCATTCGTTTCATGATCTAATCACCTCCCGAAGTCTCCACCCTAATGTCATCACCTTGGTTGTTAGGATTTCAACGAATGAATTTGGAGGGGCAGGGGATGACAACACAAACATTCAATCCACTGGACCTAGTGACTAATAACAGCTGAATGGGCCCAGATCAGTCAGAGATTGGATCTTGGTATCAGAGAGACCCAAATTTGAATTCCAGTTTTGTTTTGTTCTAGATGCATGGGGTTGGACAAGTTACTAATCCTCTGAGCCTAAATTTCACTGTCTGTAAAGTGAGTTATTACTCCATCTCACATGGCTGTTATAAGGATAACATGAGATGAACCTTTAAGGAGTCTTTCCTGTGCCGCTCTGGTTGGTGCCCACTCTTAGAGTGAGCTTTCCTAGAACTAATGGACACAGGCAAAATGACATCTCTGTGCCTCATCACGGAACACAGGAATTGTTTTCATCTATCATAATTCTTTGAAATGCACTGAGAAATGTCAGTTCTCTTTCTGATGCATCCTAAATGAATAAATATTCATTTTCTACACAGCCACACGCACTATCTTTAAGGTATAGGTATAAAATTATGGCATAAAATTATTGCAAGATAAACATAGACATATGTGTATCTCTGAATAATACCATGTATCATGTTATCATGGCAACATGGCAAGAAGAATGAGAGCAATACTGAAGCTTCTGTGAGAACAAGGCACTTATTGTGTCTTATAAATACTGATCCTAGGAAGCTACTTTCATCAGAGATATTTGGCTGCTCATTTTAAAAGAAAATTTAGTGAGCCAGTAACAAGTAAACCAGGGAAGAAAACTTGCAGAGCTTCTAAATTATATCTTAAAAGAATCATGGGAATGTAGCTCAAGGAAAGATGGAAGGACATATCTTTATATTGTGCTGAATGTATTGATGTGGTTCACTTAGCAGAGACTGGAGCAAATGACACCTGGAGCCACTTAGATTCAGTTGATTGACTGAAACATGGTTTCTGTGATGGCTCATGCTAAATGCAGTTGAGTTGATTAAACGTCCTTAGCATAAAACAGGAGGTAATCCAAGGACTTTGGGAGATAAAAATACCAGGATAGAACTATGAACAAAACATGTAGGAGGATCAGGAAAATAAATAGCCGACAGAAGAGAATAAGAAGAAACAGACCGAGTGAGGCTGAAATCCATGGTAGTGTATCAAGGAAACCAAAAGAGGAGTGCTTTGAAAAGGAAGAAGTTTTCAACAAAGTCAACCGGGATCAGAAATCACGTAAAATAACAACTGAAAAGTGATGCTAGATTTTCAAATTAGTAGGTCATTATGACCTTGGCAGGAACAGTTTCAATGTGGATGAAGGCAAAGCAAGGTTGGTTGAAGATTTCCTGTGGTGAGAGTGGAGTAAGATAGATAATGCTTTCAAAAAGTTCCCATCAAGAAAAAGCCAACTTAATTACTCAGGATTTTAAAAATATTTTATATAATGTTTTATATGCCTTTTCTTAAATGTATACACAGCCTGAATAAGTACTTTACACTAAATTTCACATTTTCCTGAAGTAGATAATATTTTATATAATACAAAACCATAAACCTTTTTTTTAAAATGTTCAGGTGTACAGAATTGTATTATGCATAACTCTAGGTTTATGACACACTCTTGTCATTGATCCATTCCGAATCTGTTTTTAATTAGTCTGTTAGCTAGTTATTTTTAAAAAGGTAATAAGCATCTATAAAGCCACAACCCAACACAAAAACTAAGATATTGACAACAACTGAAATCTACTTATGTGTACTCCATCCATCCTCGTTCTCCTTCAACTAGATGTAACCATCATCCAATATCAGGTTCATTATTCCCTTGATTTTCATATATACATATGTTGTATGTATACGTGTATATAATTTTATAGGGAATACATAAATATATATATATTCCTTAAAAGTATATTTCATATAATATATTCTTTAAATGTATTTTTTCACTTTGCAAAATAGAACATTATACTCTAATTTTTTAGACAATTTCTTGTTTTTAATTTAATATTATTAAACTATGATTCATTTACATTACTGAGTGTAGCTTAATTCCTTAATTTTGACTGCTGTCCTAAAATATTTCATTGTGTGATTCTACCCCATCTTTTCATCCTTTCTCCCACTAAAGAACATGTGCGTTGTTTCCAGATTTTTGCTATTGTGAACAGTGCCACTATGAACATTCTTTTGCATGTGTCCAGTTATACATATGGAAGAGTTTCTTTCTGGTATAGATTTAGGACTGGTGTATACTTAGATCACAGGGTAAATGATTGTTAAATTTTTCAGGATGTAATAGCAAATAGTTTTCAAAGTGGTCAAAACTATTCACATTGGCACAACAATACACAAGAGATGCTGTGTTTTCCAGATCCTCTGCCACATTTAACATTCTCAGACTTTAATTTTTGCCAAGTAATTGGATGTAAATCACATGGTGGTCTTGATTTTACTAAGTGCTAAAAATGTTGGACAACCCTTCTTAGATTAATTGGTCTTTTTGGCCTCATTTCTGAGAAATATTTTTCATACCTTTTACTTGTCTTTTCTTATTAAGAAGAGTTCTTGTATATATGTAAGAGTTCTTGATATATGCTTGATAATAATCATTTCTCAATTACGTGTATCGCAACCTGTAAATATGTCAGCTTGTATCTAGTATGTATTTCCTGTTTTTAAGGTGCCTTTGATGAACAGAAGTTTTTAATTATTTATAGATTGTCAAATTTACCATTTCTTAAGGTATTCAATACTTTTTCTTTCTCATTTAAATATTTTCCATCACAGATCTTACAAAACATTCACTCGTATATTCTGATATGAGGTTGACAATTTTTCTTTTAACATTTGTGTGATTGATCTATCTGTGGTTAATTTTTGTATCATGTGAGGCAGGGATCTAATTGTATCTTTTTCTCATTAGTACCAATTTTTTCTGTCATTATTTAATAAGCAATCTTTTCTTTGACCGCTGATTTCTCATGCTACCTCTGTCATTTACTAAAGTTTCATATGTGTGTAAGTATATTTCTTGGATCTTAATTCTATTCCATTCATCACATTTTCTATTTATGCACCAATGCCACATTCTCTTGATTACTATGACTTCATCATAAGTACTGGTGTCTTGTAGAATAATTCCACTCTTTGTGCTCTTCTTCAGTGGCTGTCTGGCTATTCTTAACCCTTTTCTCATTTGCATTATTTTTTTTTTGAGGAAGATTAACCCTGAGCTAACATCTGCCACCAATCCTCTTCTTTTTGCTGAGGAAGACTGGCCCTGAGCTAACATCAATGCCCATCTTCTTCCACTTTATGTGGGACGCCTGCCACAGCATGACTTGACAAGCAGTGCGTAGGTCTGCAACGAGGATCCAAACTGGCGAAATCCAGGCCCACCAAGTGGAACATGAGAACTCAATGGCTGTGCCACTGGGCCAGGCCTAGCATGTATTTTAAAGCACCTAATCCCTTTTTCAAATTCGATTTTTAAAAAAATAATTGCATTGATGTATTAATTTGGAAAGAATTGACATTTTCACAATATCGTATCTTCAATCCATAAAACTGAACTCTCAATTCCTTATTTAGGACATCTTTAACATCTTTCTCACTAGAATTTTAACTTCGCTTTCCCAATGGCTAATGATGTTGGCCATCTTTTCTTTCTTTTTTCTTTTGCTTGAGGAAGATTAGCCCTGAGCTAACATCTGTGCCATTCTTCCTGCACTTTTGTTTTTTTGTATTTGGGACACCTCCACAGTGTGGCTGGAGAGTGGAGTAGGTCTGCTCCCAGGATCCAACCCCGCGAATCTGGGCCATCAAAGCAGAGCATGTGGGACTTTAACCACTAGGCCACGGGGCTGGGCCCTTGAGCATCTTTTTATGTGCTTATTTTTCATCCATATATCTTCTTCAATGAAATGTCTATGGCTTTTGTCCATTTTCTAATTTTATTGTTTAGTGTTGTACTACTAAATATTCTGTTCCTTTTATATTCTAGATACTAGTCCTTTGTCAGATACATCATTTACAAATACATTCTCCTAGTATGTAGCATGTCTTTTCAATATCTTAACAGAGTCTTTCTTGGAGAAAATTTTGATAGTTCTAATTTATCAAATTTTCCTTTTATTGAGTATGCTTTTGGTATCAAATTCAAGAACTCTTTTCCCAGCCCTAGATCCCAAAGATTTTTCTCCTATGATTTTTTCTAAAAGTTTTATAGTTTTATGCCTTACATTTAAGTACATTGTCCATTTTGAGTTAACTTTTGTATGAGGTTTGGAGTTTAGGTGGAAGTTCTTTTTTTTTTTGCCTATGGACCATCAATTGCTCCAGCACCATTTGTCGAATTCTAGCCTTCCTCCACTGAATTATTTTTGCATCATCGTCAGAAATCAGTGAAGCATATTTGTTTGGATGTGTTTCTGGATTCTCTATTCTTTCCCACTGATTTATGTGACTATATACCACACCATCTTGATTGCTATAACTATATAGTTAGACTTAGTATTGCATAGAATGATTCCTTCTACTTTGTTAATTTTTCAGATAGTTGTAGTTATTTAGGGTTTGTGCCTTTCTGCATAAATTTCGGAATAAGCTTGTCTGTGTCTACATAAAAACCTAGCCAGGGTTTTGATAGGATTTGCATTAAATTTACATATATATAGGTCAATTTGAGGAGAATTCACTATGATGAGTTTTTCAACCCATAACCATGATAATGTCTTTCCATTTATTTAGGTTTTTCTTTGATTTCCTTCATGAGTATTTGCTATTTTTAGTATACAAATCCTGTACATGTTTAGATAAGTTTTCACCTACATATTTCATTTTCTTTGGAGCCACTGTAAATGGTATTGTGTTTGATTTTTGTTACCACATGTTCATTGTTACCATATAAAAATGAGATTATTTCATCTTTGATGAGTTTGTATCCCACAATATTGCTGAACTCACATATTAGTTCTTTATATTTTTTTTTGTAGATTTCTTGGGATTTTTTTTTTTTACTTTCACAACCATATCTACAAATCTACAAGAACAAATCTGCAAAATGTATTTTTACATTTTATTTATGTATTACCTTTATTTATTACATTTTATTTATTTATTTATTACTCTATTTATTACTTTTCTATCCATTTTTTAAATTATTTTTTGTCTTGCCTATTCCAGTGGTTAGAACTTCTACTACTGTGTTGAATAAGAGTGGTTTGCACAGGCATCCTTGTCGTGTTCTCAATCTTAAATATGTGGTAGAAATCTCCAGTGAGATTGTCTCGGCCTGGAGATTTCTTTTTTGGGAACTTTAAATTATGACTTCAACTTATTTAATGGTTACAGAACTATTCAAATTGTCTATTTTATCTTGGTTGGGTTTGGGTAGTTTTTAGTTTTCAAGGAATTGGTCCACTTCTTGTAAGTTCTTGAATTTATGAGTGTGTTCTCTTATTATCTGTTTAACAGCTGCAGGATCTATAGTAATAGCACCTATGTCATTCCTGATATTGTTTATTTGTGTCTTCTATCTTTTTACCTTTGTCAGTGTCCCTAGAGATTTATCAAGTACGTTGCTTTTTTCCAAAGAGTCAGCTTTCTTTTTCATTGATTTTTCTCTTTTGTTTTCCTATTTTCAATATCAATGATTTCTGCTTTTTTCTTTATTATTTCCTTCCTTCTGCTTTCTTTGGTTTTGTTTTGCTCTTCTTTTTCTAGTCTTTTTGAGTAAAAAATCCCAATTATTGATGAATCCTTTCCTCTTTTCTAACTTAACTGTTTAGTGCTATAAATTTCCCTTTCCATGCAGCTTTAGGTCTTACTTACATATTTTAATTATGTTTCATTTCATTCAGCTCTATGTACTTTTTAAATCTCCTTTGAGATTTCCTCTTGACTCATTAAATATTTGGAAAAGTGTTGTTTAATTTCCAACTCTTTAGATATTTTCCTGCAGTCTTTTTGCTATTGATTTCTACTTTAATTCCGTTATGGTCAGAGAACATATTTGCATGTTTTAAATTGTTACAATTTTTTAAGGTTTGTTTTATTGTCCAAGATATGGTATATCTTGGTGAATGGTCCATAGGTGCTTGTAAAGAAGGTGTATTCTGCACGTTGGGTGCCATTTTCTATATATGTCAGGTAGATCCTGTTGTTTGATTTTGTCATTCAGATTTTCTATATTCTCTCTGATTTTTCGTCTAGTATTTCTATCAGTTGCTAAGAAGAGGGCATTGAAGTTCCCAATGATAACAGTAGATTTATCTATTTTCTTTCAACTCTTTCAGTTTTAGCTTCACATATTTTGAGGGCTCTGTTTTTTGCTGACTGTGTATTTAGGATCATCATGTCTGCCTAGTGAATCGATCCTTTTATCATAATTTGATATCCTTCTCTGTTTCTAGTAATTTTCTTTGCTTTGAAATCTAATTTATCTGATACTCATATAGCAACTTCTGTTTTTTTAAATTAATATATGCATGATACATCTTTTTCCATCCTTTTACATTTAACTTACTACATCAATTAATTTGAAGTGAGCTTCTTAAAAACAGTAGATATTTGAGTCCTGATTTCTTATCTTGTCTGCCAATCTCTCCCTTATAATTTGGAAATTTAGATCATTTATAGTTAAGGTAATTACTGATATGTTTGAACTTAAATCTGCATTTTATTTGTTTTCTGCCTTTTTCTCCTTGTTCTTGTCCCTGTTTCTCTTATTTTTGTCTTCCTGTGGGTTACTTAAACATTTTTTTAGGATTCCATCTTGATTTGCTTATTGTGTTTTTGAGTGTATGTCCTTGCATAGTTTTCTTACTGGTTGCTCTGCGAATTATCACAGTCTACTGGTGTCAACATTATACCACTTAGAGTCAAGTATAGAAATCTTTCATTGAAATCCCTTTACCCTCCTCACTTTTATGTCATTGTCTTGAGTATCAGAAAGTATTATAAAATTTTTTCAGTCATCAAACATGATTTTTGTAACACAGGAGAATAGGGATAGTTTATTATATACACAAATAGATGCTCTTTCTGTTGTTCTTTATTTCTTCCTCATGATCCAAAATTCCTTCTTTATCACCTAATTTCTGTTTGAAGAACTTCTGTCAGCCATTCTTTAAGGGTAGATCTGCTAGTGATAAATATTTAGTTTTACTTTGTCTGAGAATGTCTTTATTTCCTCTTAATTTTCAAAAGATAGTTTCACAGGATATAGACTGAATAGTTGCCAGTTCTTTTCTCTCAGCACTTGAAAAATATTGTCCACTTCTTTTACTCCTTGGTTTCAGTTGAGGAGTCTGTTGCCACTCAAATTGGTGTTCCCCTGTTGGTGATGTGTCATATTTCTTTGGCATATCTTGTCTGGACTAGAATTGCAAAAGTGTCTTTTTTAAAAAAATTAAGATATAATTGACATATAGCATTATATTAGTTTCAGGTATATAACATAGTGATTCAATATTTTTATATATTGTGACTTGATCACCACAATAAGTCAAGTTAACATCCATCACCAGACACAGTTACAAAATTTTTTTTCTTAAATGAGAACTTTTAAGATTTACTCTTTTAGCAACTTTCAAATATACAATACAGTTTCACTAACTATAGTCACCATAATGTACATTACATCTCCATGACTTATTTATTTCATAACTGGAAGTTTGCACCTTTTGACACCATTCACCCACTTCACCACCCCCCCCAACCTCTTGCAACCACCAATCTGTTCTCTGTTATCTCTAAGCTCTGTATCTCTAAGCTTATTTTTGTTTTGTTTGGATTTCACATATAAGTGAGATCATATGATATTTGTCTCTCTCTGTCTGACATTTCATTTAGCATAATGCCCTCAAGGTCCATTCATGTTGTCACAAATAGCAAAATTTCCTGCTTTTTAACGGCTAGATAATATTTCTGTGTGTGTGTGTGTGTGTGTGTGTGTGTATACCACATTTTCTTTATCCACTCATTCATTGATGAACACTTAGGTTACTTCTATTGAATGGTATTTTAAATTTTAGTTTCTAATTGTTTATTGCTAGAATATAACAACACAATTGATTTTGTATATTGGTCATCTATCCTGCTGCCTTGATATGCTCACTTATTAGTTCTATGAGTATTTTTGTAGATTCTGTCAGATTTACTCCATAGACTCTTATACCAACTGAGAATAATGACAGGTTTACTTCTTCCTTTCCAGTGTGAATGCCTTTCTTTTTCTTGCCTGAATGCACTGGCTATAACCACCAATACAGTGTTGAATAGAAGTAGTGAGAAAAGACATATTTTGCCTATTGCTTATCTTAGCCAGAAAGGATTCAGCATTTCACCAGTAAGTATAAGGTTAGCTGTAGGTTTTTTGTAAATAATCTTTATCAGATTGAAGAAGTTCTGTTCAATCTCTCCCCACCCCTTTTTTTTTAAAGATTGACCCTGAGCTAACATCTGCTGCCAATCTTTTTCTTTTTTCTTCTTCTCCTCAAAGCCTCCCAGTACATAGTTGTATATTATAATTGTAGGTCCTTCTAGTTCTGCTATGTGGGACACCACTTCAGCATGGCTTGATGAGTGGTGCTAGGTCTGCACCCAGGATACAAACCTGTGAAACCCTGGGCCACCCAAGAGAAGCATGCGAACTTAACCACTTGGCCACAGAGCCGGCCTCCGGTTGCAAATTTTTAAGTGTTTTATCAGAGATGGATGTTGAACTTCATCAAATCCTTTTTTGCATGTCCTCATATGATCATATTTTTTTCTATTTTAGATTATTAATGCAACAAATTACTTTAGCACAAATGAATCAAAACTTCAGGCCTGTCCCCAAAGTGAAGTATTCTTTTCAGAGTTTTCAAAATTAAAGGTGGTGTAAATTTAGATTAGGATCTCCTTTCCCTGTGTCATTTCCTCAGAGTTTGATGGCATTCTCATAAGTTGTTTTTTTTTTTCTCTAGTTAGCACTTTTAAACGTTTGACACTTGGCAAGGTGACACTGGTAGATAGGGAGGTTATGTAAGGAATCAGTAGAAATAAAGGAGAATGGTTCTCTCTTGAGGGTCATTTTTCTTAAGCTTTAAAGCACCATTATTTATTGAAACCAAAGACAATACTGATGGGAGTCACAATTAAGTTCGTGAAATAGGCAAAACAATTGAATTAGTATCACATGTGATATGCTTACTATTGTCAACATGGTGCAGACCATGTGTCAGGGTTTGGTTTCTCTGAAATGGGTAAATGTTTTTGATGCTGAATGTAAGAGGTTTTTAAAATGAATAATCAGAGAGAACAAGCTGCTTTGTGCGTAAATTAGTTTTTCTGATGTGGTCTTTAGCAGTAAGCTAAATGTATATTGAAAATGTGAAACAAATCGTCTTCCATCACGGAAAATCTCACACAGCACTTATCTTTGGTGGAGAAACAAATAAAAGATAAAATTAATTTAATGATATATTTTAATTTCACACACACACATCCATCCAAAGTGTCAAATATAACGCGGTAAAAAACTGCAGTTAAGGGGGCCGGCCCCGTGGCTGAGTGGTTAAGTTCACACACTCTGCTTCAGTGGCCCGGGGTTTCACTGGTTTGGATCCTGGGCACAGACCTAGCACCACTCATCAAGCCATGCTAGACAGCATCCCACATAGCAGAGCCAGAAGGACCTACAACTAGAATATACAACTATGTACTGGGGGCTTCAGAGAGAAGACGTAAAAGAAAAAAAGAAGATTGGTAACAGATTTACCCCAGGTGCCAATCTTTAAAAAAAACACAAAAACTGAAGTTGACATTGTAATTTAGGTAGTTTTTATTTTAGTAGACTGATAATTATTTTTCACTAGTCAACATACAAGTAAGTGTACTCCAGAATTTGATTAAATTTGCCTTTGTTGTTATATATTTGGGGGAGTTCCAATGAAGTCTTAATACAATGTAGATACCTTACTGATTCTCTTCAGTACCAACAGACTGAATTTTTGTTTCATACACACATGCGACACTATTCTCTCTGGAATGCATCTCTTAGGTTATCATTGTTCTACTTAGATTGTTTTCAATAAGTCGAGATTGCTCACAGGTAAAGACCAAATTGATGAGTTTCACATCCAAGGTTTATTAGAATCTGCTACTAAGCCACCTTTACTACCTTACTTTCCAAGTTTTTTCAATTAATAACTCAACATTCCAGCCAAGTTGGAAGACTTACTGCATCTTTTGAGAACTTCAAATTTCATAGCTTGGTGCCTTTGATCCTGCTGTTCTCTCTTCCTGGAGAGGATTTAGTCTCATCATTTTATGCCAAAAATCTATCTAGATTGCAGATATTAGCCTAGATGAAACATCCTCCAAAAACCTTCCTGATTCCTCAAGAGAATCATGGAAATATCCATTTGAACTACCTTGCCTTTGATCAGCAGATAGATAGATTGATAGATAGATAGATAGATAGATAGATAATCTCGTTGCTGGAGTAATGCATGATTAAATATTTAGTACAAGAGTTTATAGGTTTCTATATCAATCAGTTTATCTCTAGGAATGAATTTAACAAAATACATATAAGACCTGTACAGGAAAAATTATGAAGTTCTATTGATAGACAGTAAAGCAACTTCTGATTCTGTCCAAGATGACATAACAGAGCTAGACTAGATTTAGCCTCCCACCTGACACAACCAAAAAACCTGGACAAAATACGTGTAACAATAGTTTTAAAGACACAGACATCAGGCAAGGAAAGGTGATAAAAGGCAAACTTTCTTTTTACATAAAAGAGACTTAAAAGCATATTTGCATCTGATTTGAACAAAAACACTAAAAGTCTCACGACATTTATGAGACATTTGGAGTTTTTATGAATTTGAGAATTATAGTTAATGCTTAGGTATTTTTAATATTATTTGTTTTTTTATGAACCTCATCTGTTAGAGATATGTATTGACATATGTAACGGTAGAAATTATAAGATCTTTGGATTTGGCTTCAAAATAATACAGGAAGGAGGAAAGTGGGCAAGGTTATAAACAAAACAAAATTGGACTTGAATTGATAATTGTTAAAGCAGGTTTGTCTACAATGAAAATGGGTTTGTTAGAGTTATTCTCCCACACAGAAGGCATCTGTGACATTGGTGATGTCCCACTTCTTGCCCTGAGGGTAGTTACATGAGTGTGGGCATTTGGGGGTAAGTCATACATTGTGAGCTTGATCTTTGTCACTTTTCTGAATGGGTTCATATACTGAATTAAGGGACCCCCTTCTCTGGCTTTCTCCCCTCCAGGATTGTCCTCTCTGGCTTGCCAAGGCTCCTTTCTACAGTTGCTCTATTCAAGTTTTCTCTACCTTGATAGTGTTGATATTTGGGGCCAAATAATTTTTTGTTGTGGGGAGCTGTCCTTGCATTGTAGGATGTTTAGCATCTCAAATCCCCACCCCAAGTTGTAACACCAAAAATGTCTCCAGACATTACCAAATGTCTCCTGCAGGGCAAAATCCCCTAGTTGAGAACCACTGCTTTAGCCAGAAAGTTGTCACGATTTCCTTTGAAGTGTTAACTGTCTTTGTGGCACTGTTGATGAGTGAGACTCAACTCAGGGTAAAGCATAACTAGGAAAAATATACATATACCACCTCCCCTCCCATGGCAGTCACTTTTCCAGGGTTTGACTCTCCCACCAACTGCCTGCTTTACTTTACTGTTCAGAAATTTTAAGTGGTTCGGGGATATTTTCGTTTGTCATGTTTTTCTATTTTTTCCAGAGTTTTTACTTGCTATGAGCTAAAGTGACTTTATATTGTTCTTTGAATACTCAGATTTTTTTTAATATCTAAAATTTAAATTTTATTAGAACGTATCTCAGTGTCAACCCTATGGACCAATTTTTCCTTGGCAAACCTAGTGGTACTTCTATATGTAGATTTAATAGGTTTTTTTAAAAGAGAAATTAGAATTATACCTTTATATATTTGTTCTTTTCCATTATTTTTCTTCTTCAGACACTCCAATTATGCATATGTTGGATCTCTTTGCATCTATAGTCAATATTTATCATGATTTCTCTAGCAATTTTTTACTGTTTCTCTAATTTCCACTTAATCATGTTTGGTTTCTTATTCCTATTATCATCTCTCTGTTTTCTCCAGTTTCTCATACCTAGTATTCTTTCTAAATTCACTTCTGATATTTTTCTCCTAAATATGCATTCTACCAGTTTATATTTAATCTCCTTCTACTGTTGAGTCTTTTCTTTCCTGAGTTTTATTTTCACTTCTGTATCCTCCAAACAATATAGGAATCTTATTGTGCTTTAATTTTAATTATTCTTTTCCAAACAAACATACTATTTTTATCTTACATTTTACTATATATCTTTACTCAGTATCTTTTTTAATATCTTTAAAATTAGTCATTATAATCTTTAGTTTCCTGAGGTAATGCTTGTTTAAATTTTTCTACATGTTTGGAAACCTAAATGCATACAATGTATGCATCCAATTTCTTCCTTCTGGATTCAATTTTCTTCTTCCTGGGATATATCTTTTATGGAATTTTTATGAGAATCTCTGAATGGAAAAGTTATTCTTGTTTGTTTTAAAATTATCTTCCTGTTGCCACCATATGTGAATGAGAACTGGGCATGTAATTTTAGGTCAAAAGTTATTTTTCCTCAGTATTCTGAAGATATAATTCCATTGTTGTCTGGCAGATTAGTTTGCTAGGGCTGGTGTTAACAAAGTACCACAAACTGGGTGGCTTAAACAATAGAAATTTCTTGTCACACAGCTCTGGAGGCCAGATGTGCAAAATCGAAATGTCAACAAAATTCGTTCCTTCTGACGGCTGTGACGAAGGATCTGTTCCAAGCTTCTTTCCTTGCCTTGTAGATGACCATCTTCTCCCCACACCTTTTCATACCATCAACCCTCTGTGTGTGCCTGTCTCTCACTTTCACCTTTTTATAAGGACACCAGCCATACTCGATCACCGATTCACCCTACACTAGTATGACTTCATGCTTTTGTAACTAATTACATCTGTGTTGACCCCATTTCCAAATAAGATGATATTCTGAGGTACTGGGAGTTAGGACTTCAACATACGAATTGTTAGGGGAAATAATTCAGTTCATTACAATCGTTCTTTTTCTCTCTTGAGAAGTTCAGTTGCGTCTGTGGACTGTATGTTTTTTTGTCCTCAATTGCTTTTAAGATTTTTTTGTAATCTCTGGTGATTCTGTAGTTCATTACAGCATTTATAGTATAAATTTATTATTATAAATCCTGCTTGGGACTCAATAAGTTATTGTTTTTCTTTAATATAAAAGTGCTTATGACTTTCATCACTTCTGAGAAAGTCTCTTCGTAATTTAGCTCTATCACACTATGTAACAAATACTGGATCTTCTCACTTTACCCCCCAAGTATCTTATTCAATCTTCCATGTTTTTAATATTTTTCTGTGTCCTGCATTCTGGGTAATTCTTCAAATATATATTCCTCAGAGATTCTCCTTTTAACTGCACCTAACCTGTCTTTCATTGGTCTTTTTAAAAAAATAATTACACTGTTTTTCGTAGGGGTTCTATTTGGTTATTTTTCAAAACAGCTCATTTTTGTCATAAGAGGCTATACTTTTCAGTTGATTTTTGTGTTGATAGGATCAATGTAAACACACTTACTTTATAATTCCTAACTTGTAATTCTGTATTCTGAAGTTCTGTGTGCCTAACTCTACTACTATATTTTTTCATAGTAGATTTTTATTTTCCTCATCGGGTTGGTAACTTTTTACTGTGAGTTCATCTCTAGAGGAAATTATTTTCTCTCTGGTAATTGCACGTGGCCAGGGGTGTGAAAGTGTCCTCTTAGTTACTTCTGCCAGGTGACTTGGGAGTATCACTGGTTCTAGATAATTTATTTCCTTAATTTCTTAGCTAGGAGCTCTCCGGAAACTCATAAGTAGTGCAAATTAGCATCACAAATCAATACAACTTTCTTTCTCTTCTAGCGTCTAGGCTGTAAAAAAATAAATAAATAAATAAAAAATTCTCATCTTCTCCCTGAGCAAAGAAGAGTTTTTGAGCCCCATTTTCTCTGAGGTGCACTTCTAATTTTGTTCAGGGGTTATCGTTTTTCTCTGCCACTGCTGACCCAAGGATTTCTCCAAAACACCATGCAGGTAAGAGGTATAAGTTTTACTGACAATTTGGTGGTAATAATAAGAAAGTGAGGATAGTGATGACAATATAACAGCACAGCAGAAGGCATAAAACTGAGACACTTCTTAAAATATTTTAGTCTCCACTCACCCTTAGCCCATTAAGAAAAAGAAGAGTTTATATTATTAAGACTCCATCTTTTCATGCATCCATTCATTCATTCGTTTATTCTGCTGACAGAAATGTAAAATTCCTTTATTTTTATTATGCAAATAACATACCTTTATATTTTCTCCACTAACTAAATTCTGAACCTACCTTGGCGTAATCAAAACATCATTGAGTTGCTCCATTAGCTCTATTAACTTTCAAATTACACATTTTCTTCATGAACATGTTCAAATTGTAGAATCAAATAAAGTCTAATTTTTTTAATAAATTCTGAGTAACCGTCTGTGTGATAGGCTGCTTTTTATGTACATAAGTAGGCATTTAGTTATTTTGTGTGGCTACGAGTCTCCTTTACGGTATAAATTGGTGAGACTCTGCTTTCGCTGTAGTGTGCATTCGAGTGAGAGCCACGCACTCAAACTTTCTCAGGAAGACTACAGACATATGCAGAGCTGGAGTGAAAATTTAAATTTTCGTGTTTTCAGTAGATAGTTTAATGATTAAAAGAACTTCTATTTTCCTTGTTCTACATGGTTTTACAAGATATTAAATGGTCTATCTTACAAAATAGGTTGTAGTGTCATTCTTTTAGAGTGTCTAGCAAGAAGTCCCAGTCTAGGGCTATAGCATCAAAATACCCTTACTGTCGTTTGCACAGCCAACTTTTCCAGATATTATGGAAATCAGAATTAGGTCTTCCAAGTATTAGGGAATGCTAAGTCTCACTCAGCTACTCCCGGTGGGCCTCTGGCAGGTGGGCTAACCAAGCACAGGTTCATTCTGATACTATTGGGCCTAGAGCCAACTCAGAGGCTTCTGCTCTCTCACTTCGGCCAACCTGGGTGAGAATATCAACCCTGATGCTTTCGTGAGCCACAAACACGATACTAATCTTAAACGAACTGGCATGACTGGAACGAAAATTGTATCTGATCTCATAAAATTCACTTTCCACATGGACACTTTCCAAAAGACAAAAATGACAAGATGAGAAAAATCATGCTTATTCAAACTTGAAATTCTAAGTTTTCTGCATTGCTGTCTTTGATATGTACCACAAATTAAAAAACATTAATTCATTTCATAGTCACATAATTTGCTACATTCTGCTTATTATTAAATGTGTATAACAATGCCGGTTATATCATCTGATCAGAACTTCTAGAATTTTGATGCTTTTAATTCATATAAAGCAAAGAACCAGTCATTATTTAAATGAAGATTGGTGGACAAAATCTGTGAACACACATAGTTCAATAGTGATAGGGTGGTCAGATAAAATTGATTATAATTTGAGTGGTTATCAGAAATAAAGAAACCGTAATTCACACCCTAATAATATGAGTATCTTTGATACAGCCCTACTTTACTCTACAAGTCCTACTGCATTTTGAACCTAGCTGACAAAGTTTTTATCTAAGTCGTGGCATCTTCATACCTAAACTTTTTGTAATCTTTCCTTGACTATGCATGTAGACACACACACACACGTACACACACTCATGCATGCACGCACACACGTACGCAACTTGTTTGAGGGTATTTCTCTTCAATTTTGTATCTGATATAGATCTCTATGTAGCCAATTATCACACCAATACATAACCCTGGTAGGTGTTTATATCCTTCATGCCACTCTATGTTGCTTATCTTTGTGTTCCCAGTGTCTACATCAGCATCCAGCACACAATAGACACCCAGTAAATGCCTGGAGAATGAGAAGATCTGTCCCTTCTACACTATCTTCTTCTTTTTAAAATATTGGCCCATCTCTCCACTGGCAACTTCCCACCTGGATGCAAAATGAATGCCTACTTTGACCACAGCAAACTACAAATCTTTTGTGCTTTTTCACCCTAATCATGTTAGCCAATACTCTTTTTAAGTTGATAGTACTAACCACCACCTAGTGGCTAGGATGGAGAACTATCTAATTTGATATATGTTACCTGGCACCTTTGGGGAATTTGGGAGTCCCAAACAGTTGGAAATAGAAGTCATCAATAACAGCAGAAGCAGCAAGTAAACCCCAGAAGAATCCAGTCTAGGATAGTCTCATACCTAGACCCTCTTGTCCTGGGTTGAGACCATTTAATTCTCTTTTGGGATGTTTGCATACAACAGTGAGGGCCCCAGTATGAGACTTCCCAGGTCCAAATCTCAAATCTCCTACTTACCCTCTGAATTATCTTGGATAAATTATTTAATCTCTCTATGTCATAGTTTTCTCATCTAGAAAACTGGGATAATAATATTACTATACAGACCCTCATGATCATAATATCTACACTGAGGTTCTTGTGAGGGATAAATACAACTCCTGCGAAGAAATTAGCACAATATCTGACACCTAATTAGAACTCAATAATTGAATATTTTTTCTATGTTGAGCTAATTCGTCTTCCTGGCTAGGTTTGAAGCCACCCCTGATTGTACTCATTGTGCTCAGGTCCCGGTTTCCATTTTCTTCCTTTGTCTGCACTGGTGTCTGCTTCTGGCCTGCCTTGGCCCTGTCCCGGTGAAAGTCCAGTGCTTGAGTCATCTTCTCTTCCTCACAATCTATTTCTTTGCCTGAGAAGTTTTGTGTCTGCAGTGAGGTTCATATATATATATAAGAACTAATATCTAAGCCAGCATCTGTTGCCAATCTTCCTCTTTTTCATTTTTTCTCCCCAAAGTCCCAGTAGATAGTTGTAGATCCTAGTTCTAGGTCATTGTAGCTCTTCTATGTGGGATGTGGCCACAGCATGGTTTGATGAGCGGTGTGTAGGTCCACACCCAGGATCTGAACCAGCGAACTCTGGGCCACCAAGTGGAGCGTGCGAACTTAGCCACTCGGCCATGGGGCTGGCCCCTGAGGTTCCTATATTTTCATTTCTATCACAACACAGATAATCCATCTTGGATAATTTTTCCTCATCTATAAATATTCCACTTTGACTAACTCACCGTTTCTTATGCATCTTTCATTGCATGCCCAGTTTCCTTAGGAAAAAATGACTATCCTTCCTTCTACTCTTTTCTCCTATTGCATTGTCATGGCTGATAACACAACTGTAGGTCTGTGGAACATTAACTGTATCAAGGAAAGAGAAAAGTTAAAAGTTTTAAAATAAAATTAGGCCTAAATTATATGAATGCTGTTAATATTTAAAGACCTTCAAAATGCCCAGGAATCCACTTTAAAAACTTGCACAAACTTGCATTTTTAAACTGCTTATCTAACTGAAGAGTACTTTTCTTCAAGCACCAAGCTATGGAGAAATACTTTAAAAAATTTTTTATATATAACTTTATTATAAAAAACTGAAAACCTTTTTTGTAAATATTTATACTTCAAGCATATGCTTTATTGTACAAAGTAGGCACTTGACCAATCCTAGAAACCCAAAGACCACCATAAATGTTGTTATTATAGGATAATATAGGCCAAATGAACTTACAGTACAAGACTCATTTGTGAGTTGGGAACTAAATGTAAGAAGAATGAACATGAAATTCGAGCTGAATTATTCCAGCCTAGTTCTGTTTGGCATGTCCTCCTCTTATCTAGTTATTGAGAAATTCGATCTTGGTTGTTTTTTTCTCCCCCTCCCTGGGGAAACAACTATGCTTTGAAATTTAGAATAATCAGTATAGCACAATCAGATACTTTTCACTCAGATTCCATGGAACATATTCTAAAGATATTACTTAGTGATGACAGTTTTTTGTTCAGCGGGGTGTTCACAGTATGTTGGGCATTGGAAACATCACTCGTGGTGGTATTATATGTCTCGGTAACAGGTCAGACTGAGGGAATTCCCTGGTTTGTTGCCCTCACTCAGGTAAGAGAATTTGTTCTCATACATCTAGATGGAGGTGCGGTCACTCTCTTACTGAGAGCCGCAGCTGTGCAGACATGACATCTCATTCAGTTGCTTCCTTTCTCAGACTGGATGTTCTTCTACAAATCACAGACCAAAATCCAAAAAGGTGAAAGAATAAATGCCAGTCCCATTACCTTCTGATTTTGCTCTGTTGTGGTTTGATAGTCTTCCCTTTGTCCACTCCGAATGTCCTGGGAAGCAGCTCCAGAACCAGGCACAGAGCAATCAGCCAGAGGTCTGTCCAGGTCAGAACAGATAAGACTCATTTACAGTGCAGTCTTCTTGGTTTTCAGCTCTTATTTTTGAACATAATACAAAGTTGGGGAAATTTTTCTTTGTGATTTTAGTTTGTGACTTAGGTTTATTTATTTTGTGATTTTAGATAAATCATTAAAACCATAAAAGGAGAGAAATCCTCTCTCTCTCTTGCTCTGTTTCTTTCTCTCTCTCTATATACACACACACTACAAATATATTATAATTATAGAATATATGTAATTATATATAATATACATATATATTGTAATATATATTACAAATTATGTAGCCTGGGTCAACCACATAATTTCTAGGGCTCAGCACAAAATGTAAATGTGGAGTCTCTTGTTCATAAAGCAGGGAAAAAAAATGCCAGAAAATTACTAAAATGTAAAGCTTTTTCTTTTGCACTTTCTCCCTTAAATCGTCGTAGTTTTTTATTTCCTATTTAATTTCATTCTATAAAGAAAACTAAAATTTTAAATTATCATAAATTTTACTGTTAATTTATATTGCACAATGCCAGTTTTAAAGGCAAATATAAAAAATCTAACTCTTATGCAGAATCATTGAAATTATGCAATTTCTATTTTGTAGCTTGTACATGTATATGTATTTTGTTGTTGCTGGAAAAAAGGATGCTCTGCACAAAACTAACTTGACTGTTTTATTTCACTTCTTGTCATGCACACATTCTACCAACACTCTCCATTCGCCACTTACGCCTGAGTAAGGAAGGATGGAAAGGAAAAGGAACTATGGGTTACCCAATCTTTCCCTTTCCTTCTATAACACAGCAACTTCCACAACATGCTTACCTTGCACTTGCTTTGAGTCTTCCTGAGCTCCAATGCATTGTGAATCCCGTGGAATTTATGTGGGTGGGACATCACAGAGGCTGTATGCAAAGGGGATGGTAAGGAACGGTGGACTCACATACTGCTCATATCTTCTCTGCTCATGCACACGCTCTATTATCCCATAAACTTCTCTTACGAAACACAAGTACTAAAATAAAATTATTAAGAATTGAAGACATGACGACAGAGCATTAAACCAAACACAGGGCCCTTCTGAGGGCAAAGCCTCATGTGACCTGCACAGGTTATACCCCCAAGAAGCCAGCCTTGTATGAGGCCCCCTGTTGCCCTTTAGACAACAACCCCATCTACTAGAATAAGCTAAATGGTCAAACACAATTGTCTCGTTAATGTCACTACCATCTAAGGGCAGGTGACTTAAGTTTTGCCTTAAGTTGGAACTTGAAGTCTTAGATTGTTGATTACTTTAGTTTGTGTCCAAAAATAGTTATCTTACAGACTGCGGAAACGAATGCCTAATAAGGTGATTGCCAAGAACCTTGCAAATTTTAAACTTATATAGATGCTATTTGTGGTAATACAATGAAACAAAAGGCTCTGTTACAGAGATACTTCATATCAGAAGTAAAAAAAGGTTTTCAAGCTATGGGATTACAATCCATTAGTGGATCTTGAAATCAAATTCTTAAGTTGTAACCAGTATTTTTTCAAATAATGAAATAGACTAAATAAGAGTAGAAAAGATCAGAGTGCCACACATACAGCAAAGATATGTATAATCTTATGAAATTTTTGCTTCATATATGTACATATACATATAATGCATACATACATATATAAACAGTCATTTGTTACTTACCAGTGGGTATATGTTCTGAGAAACACGTTGTTAGGTAATTTCTTCTTTGTGTGAATATCATAGAGTATACTTATACAAACCTAGATAGTATAGCCTACTACACATCTGGCTTATCTTATGGGATATATACATATACATATAAGACGTAATACTTACATATAAACATACAATGCAATTATGCACATATTTACATATATGTGTGTCTATATGTATACATACGTGTATACATATACATATAATGCATACATATATATGAATGGATGTGATAGGTTGCAATATAAGATGTATTTCTTACTGTGAGTCATCATTAAAAACTCCATTGTCGTAAAAATCTGTATCTTCCAATGAAGTTTACAGTTTTTAAACTCAAGAACCATCTTTCCACGGTATAACACACATTAATGTCAGAAAAGGAAGATCACATTCATATAAGTCATCCTGAAAATAGTTTTCTACAAAATGTTGCATTTCCAAGCTTAGATTCCTGTGGATGATTATGTTCTTCAGGATTTGTAGATAATGTACCAGCAATTCTAACATTTGCAGCATCCACCAAAGACTGGGCATTTGGAAGCAAAGAAAGAAAAAACACATTTATTCATCTCCATTATGTGATTCTATCCTCATAGCAATCTCCAAAATGGATAATATCAGCCTTTTTCATGGGTGAGGAATGTGAAACTCAGAGAAGTTAAGTAATTTGCCCAGTCACGTATCTTCTTGGTGGCCAAATGGGCCTTGGAACCTAGCTAGGTTGCCTGTGTCAAAGTCCAGCATTTAAGTCTCCTGAGGTGTTATAATCTTATAAAAAATGTTGAAAAGATTAAAAAGGGAAATAATATAACTGATGCACAAAAATCAAGGTTTGATTGTGTTACGGTCTAGTGAAATATAATTTAATTTTGGACTCCATTTTCCCACTGAACCATACCGTAACTAATAGGCAATATTCTTTTGTGAATCAGAGCCTCAGCGTTTGCGTTTTCTTGTGGTTACATTATAAGAAATAATGTGCAATGTTTTGATTTCTTTGTACCCACAATCTAAGCCATTCAAAAATAACAAAATTCCACAAAGGAGGAGGAAAAAATAAATCGTAGAGAATTTTGGAAAGAACGGTATCAACTTTTTATAGCAATCATAAGAAAATCATCTACATTTGTATCAAATATCAGGTTTCCAGCACAGGAAAAGAAAACTGCAGTACCTGCCATTTTAAATTACTCCCTGTCATGTTTTTATTCCTCCTCTTCCCCTGGGATGTTAATGTCTTGAAGAAATATGTGTGCACTCTGAAAATATTTCCTGAAGTCAGTGGATTCCATATGTTCCTAGGGAAACAAATTATTCACTCCGTGGGTCATTCCTGGTGACATTTAGATCTTCTAATCAGTACATTTAGGCCCCTATGTACTTTGTATTTTCAAAGCCCTCTTATGTTGACTTGCATAGAACTCAAGAAATATTTTCACTGACTCAAACCTTCCTCAACCTAAAAGAACACACATGAACACATATACATTCTCTTTTTCATACACACTCACTTACACAAACACATGCACAAAGACACTTGAATACATATTCTTTACAGTTTAACTATATTGGACATTGGTTTAGGAAAATTAAGATAGCTATTTTGAACTAAGCAAATGATTGTCCCAAATGCAAAGGAAAAATGAGCAATGTACAATAAAATATACTCAATATCCCTAGTTCATAGAGTTGATCAGAGGAAAGAAAGCAAAAATAGCAAATGATATGAGATTGTTTTTGTTTGATTTGTATTTTGTTTTATTTTTTACAAAATAAAGATCAAGAATTGATGTGTGACTTTTGCTTTCCTTTGAACCAAAAAAAAAAAAAAAACGTATAGTTTTTGAAACTTTCCTCATTTGGTTTCAGTGTACTGCTCTCTTCCTGTTCTCTGAAATCGTCCTGAATGATTCTTCTATTTTCTGACTCTGATGTTGGAACTTCCCCAGATTATTTCATTGGTCCTCTTCTTTGTTATCCTTAGAAATTGCCATATTATCTCAGGCTTCAATTGCCATCGATATGCTACAAACTCCCAAATATATATCTTATTCATTTATTGAGCATATATTTATTGATCACTTACATGTCCCAGAAATTTGTGTTATTTAGTTGGGACAAAATAGTCATGGTCATCACCATCTGTCAACTTAAAGTCAAGTCACCATCTTACAACTTAAAGTCAGGTACTGAACTCATAAATTAAATATGTAAATACACCAAAAATAGAAAAAAGCCAGAGGGAGAGCAAGAAAGAGAGAGACAATGTAATTAAATGACAATAGGAATAATTCCTGGAAGGAGAAAACAGCGCGTACAGGAGGAGAATAGGGTAGGAAGAGGGAAAATCACTCAGGAAGTTGAGTTTAAGTTGAGATCTAAAGAATAAGAAAGATCCAGTCGAGGAAATATCTATGAGAAAATTGTTCCAGTGTTTCTGGCATAGAACTCCTCATACCTTGATCTCTCCCTGAGCTCTGAACATGCTCCAACAATTGCCTACTGAACAACGCATTTGAATAGTCTATAATTTCCCTGATTTTAAGATGTATATAAATAAACTGTCTAATTGACACACAAATCCAATTGCTCTGCTTCTCCTCAAGACTATTTCTGTCTTGGTTAATGGCACCACCATTCACCTAAGCTAAACACCTCAGAAGAGTCTTGCAAAAATCTTCCTTGTCCCTTACACTTTACACAATCCCTCACCAAATCCTATGAATTCCACTCTACATAGAAGGTGCTTAGTAAATGGTTTTTTTAAATAAATGAATGATTCACTCAATAAACCAATGAATGGAAATGTCTTTAGGCTTCTGCCTACTGATGAAAAGTTTCCAAGTGCCACTACCAAATCTATCATGATAACAATAGTATGTGTTTCTTCCTCATTTAGCGTGTACTCTCTGCCTTTCAAAGGAACTTAAGCTACTTTTTGTTGAGCACATATTGAAGAACTGGGGGAGAAACTGGTTCCTATCTTGCTGCCTGATTTCAGTGAGTCTAAAATCAATTCTTGATAAAGGGGATTTGGTAGAGCCCACATTTTTATATTAGGAAGAATTGTTCCTGGAGAAGAGCATGAAAAAAGGAACATTATTTTTTCCTCATCTTTTACTATCTCTATACAGACAGCTCACAGATTTATATTCCTGCACATACCTCTTCCCTGAACTATCTGTCTGTAGACTAGTACATCCAACTGCCTACATATCCAACTACCTACTCAGCATTTCCACTTAGATGTCTAATTAGCTTTTTAAACATAAATATCCAAAATGAACTCCCGATATTCTCCCCCAAACCCCGCTCCTCTGACGGTGTTTATCATCTCTGTTGAAAAAAAATAACATCCTTCCAGTTGCTCGTGACAAAAAATTGGAGCCATTCTCAACTCCTCTCTTTTCCTTATATCCCACATCCATTCTTTCAGAAAATTTTGCTGTCTCTATCTCCTAAGTAGATCCAGAATCTGACCGGTTATCACCACCCCCACACCTACCGCCTTGTCCTAAATCAACATTGTCTCTCCTTTGGATTATTGCAAAATCTTCCTAAAGGATCTCTGCTTCCACACTTGCTCCTCTATAGTCCTTTCTCAAAAGAGCAGTCAGAGTAATAGTTTTTGCTCAAAACTCTTCAGTCTCACCTGAAGTAAAATCCCAAATCCATACAGTGACCTAATAAGTTCCATGTGGCCTGCCCAGTTGCTGCTCATCTCTAGGAGTACTCATCTCTGAGTACTCTCTGAGTCCTATTTCGTCTCTGAGAGTGCTCATCTCTGAGTACTCCACATCTCTGAGTACTTTTCTACTTGATGTTCTCAGAGCCTGGAAAATGATCTTAGCTCTTCCCTTTTCCTCTCCACACCATGGCTAATCCTTTCTCTCCTTCCTAATTAGTCCTCTTCTGATTACCCTAGTTAAAATTACAGACCCCTCCCTGCCTTACACTCCCTGTTTCCCCTGCCATGCTTTATCCCCACAGCACGTTCAACGTCTAAAATTCTGCATAATTATTTTTTTTTCCTTACTGTCTGTGTCCACCAATTAAAATGTCATTTCTTGGAAGACAATGTATTTTTTTTCTGTCTTCTTCATTGCTGTTTCACCAGTGACATATAGTAGTGTAAAAAATATGAATGAACAAATAACAGAATGAATGAATAAATGAAAAATGGGTGTTTATATGTCAGGAATTGGGCTGGCATAAAGATGGGAGATTGGGTCGATACTTGAAAATTAAAAAGAAACACATCCTCTTTTATGGGAAACCCCAGGGAAAAGATTTCTACTCTTAAGGGAATGGAGTTGGAGATAGCCAAATTTAAATTGTGGCGCAGTAGGAGGAGAGAAGTCGGAAGCAAAATACAGATGGACTTGGTGTGGAGGAGCGGACAAACAGAAAGGTGTGCATTGTGACTATCTGTATGTTTGAAATTTTGGTAATTGAGGAGTTTGCACTAAATTATTTCGAAATCTTTGGCCAGCTATAAAGCTCTAGGACTCTATAAAGAAGAGAGACAGATACCACCAAGCATCGAGATAAAGATGCTTATTAAAAATCTGACACAAATCCTGTCTCTAAATTTCCTGGCAGCTAAGGCAGAAAGCAAAACGTGTTGTTTAACGATTGTTTGTTTTGCTAAGTAAAGCATGCAATTCACTCCACAAAGACAAATTTATCTTACAACTAAACAAATGAGGATTGACTATACAGGCTCTCTAATGATGAGGTATGGATAAGAAAGTGAGCAACATCTTAAACCATAATTTAATGAAATACATATACAAATATATCTATTTTGATAAAATTGATGATTCCTTTAAGAGCTCTCTCCAAATGCAAAGGACATAACATGAAATGAATGTATGTTGAGCCCTACTGGATACATGGCAATAAATCTTGGCATGTCTCCTTAAATCTCACTCAAATCTTCAGTGTTTCTGCTCCATTATATCCCTACCTTAGCAACATATTATAGCTTATCCTGACCATCTTAAACAAA